AAGAAGCTAACTAAGCAAAGATAAGCTTTATATTAAAGAAAACAGTATCATCTGAGAACAGTGTTCACCTGTACAGCTAGGGAGGATGCGCACGTGCACCCCACTCTAATTCAATGCAAGTAGAACTCACTCGGAGCAAGTCTGCCCCCCACCTCCCCCAGGGCTGTCCCCAGCCCCCACACCCGGGCAACATTCTGGCCCCTCCAGAAGACAAGAAGGGTTTTCTCTAGTCAAGAGCTATGCCTGGATCTGTTCCAAAAAGACATTGCAGACAACAAAACAAACCCATCCTTTCTCCTCTTCTATCTGCTTTCCTCCTCTTTCTCCTCCCGGGGCTCTGCAGATCTCCAGTCACCACCGAAAACTGCCCCTCTCCTTCCAGCCCACATACTGGACCTTCTCCCTCCCCGATATCTCTGGATCATGCCTCTCTCCATGCCCACCTCCCTTCTGGTACCTTTCTTGGGGCCTCCTAGCTTGTCTCCATCCATGACTCCACATTTCTGGAACCCAAATCTTCCCATTACTCCCCTTTCTCTCTCTGGCCCCTCATCACCAGAAGATAAAGTCAGTCCTGACCATGGCCCTGCCCAGCCCAGCCTTTGCCTGACATCAGTAAACAGTCGGGTGCACTGTACGTCCTGGGCTATGCACTCACGCCAAGTGTTAGGGCTGTGTCTTGATGTCCTCTAAAGCCTCACGCAGTCATAATTGGGGCTTCTTCACAGGTGGCTGGATCTAGAGTGTGCGATACTGGAATTGACTCAGTGCTAGGCTCAAGGGCACGAGGATGAAGTGTGTGAGTGCTGCCTGCCCTAAGTAGTCTGGATAAGATAAAAGGAGCAGAACGAAGCCGTTAAGGTTCCTTGCTGCTTTTGCTGTCTTCTGCTTGCCATGGACTCTCCCCTCTGCCAAGCCACCCTGCCTCGGAGCCAGTCAATTATGGACTGACACCTCGTAAACCTTTCCCCACTTAACTTTCTGTGCCAGGTATTTTGTCTCAGCAATGAGAAAAAAGCAACGAAGATACTGAGATGCGCAAAGAATGGGATGCAGCACACAGGAGAGAGGTGTGACTGAAGTAATCGATGTGGTAGACGAAGAGGAACCTTGGAGACTCGACCCACAAAGTAACTTCTGCAAGCTGCAGTTACACCACAACTCCAGATCAGGCCTCCTCCAAAATCCCATGCATCTTGGCCAAAGGAATTAAACAGAACAGAACAAGACAAAGCAATGACAAAAAACAGAAAGAAAAGACATAGGATAATCCATGATTAAAACACAAGTTAAGTGTCAAGATGCAGAGCCCGTGAACACTACTACGATGACACTAAATCACAGTGAAATGAGATGTCTTGCTCGGGGAAATGTTTACCGCACTCAAGCACAGCCCTGCTGCCGGTCGGTTTTCTAAGCGTGTGGGTCAGGTACCGGAACACAAGCGAACATGTACACAGAGAGCCACCAGCACACCGGGGCAGGAGCAAAGGGGCACTCACACCTTCTTACTCCATCATCTACGGATATTAGAAGAAAATTATTTTCAAAAACGACTAAGCCTGATGTGGTGGCCCACACTCATCCCAATACTCAGGGAGCTGAGGCAGGAGGATCACTCTGAGGTCAAGGACTGCCTGGAATATGTAACAAGGCCCTACAGTTCTCAAAACATGACAGAACAACAAGAACAACAAAAAACTGATGAATAAAATATGAAAAGCTTGAATTTATTTTAAGAAACCTGGTTTGGAATGCCACTGAGTGATTTTTAAGGATTCCAGAGGAGATTGGGAGGGTACAGTGTCAAAATTCAAGCAGACAGAGTAGAGATAAAGATCACAAGAGATTTCTAGAATACACTCTACCGTCAGGGGATGGCATGGCTTTCAGCCCAGAGAGATGCTGTCTATGTTGATGGGACCTTGTTTCCAAACTGTGGCCTTCAGTTTTGTCAGGAAATCAATTTAGTGGATCACAATGGTCAATTACTTTTAAATGAAAGAGAGTAGAATCTGACAGAAGACACCAGGCTGCACTTCCTGAAGCAAGAGAAGTGAGGCATGCTGGGCAATGCTGTGTGCACACAGTATGTTATCAATTAACAGCGCAATATTTCATGTGGCCACACATTGTCATGGAAAGTCCAAAAGGCTCTCATTAGAAGGGGTTCCATTTTTAACACACTAAACTCACTCAGCTATGAGTACTGAGCCTTTTCATCATTCTTAGATCCATGCTACAATTAAACAGAGAATGGTGTGGAAGATAGAACTGGAAGGAGGAAGTAAATTAGCAGAATGTAAATAAGAGAACGATAACCAAAGAGCAAAAGAATGAGGCAGACGAAGTCTGGCCGTCACTCAGGGTGCTCTGGCCAGTCCCCCGTCCCTGGAGCATTGGCTCTGCAGCAGCTGCTGGGTAACTGCGCCACCAGGGAGCCCCGTGGGCACCTCCACTGCGGTTGTATCTTAAAGGCACAATAAAATTTGGTCCACTGCTGTCTACCCAACCCTACGACAGTGCCTGTGACATACAGCAAGTGTTTGATACGTTTGGTTAGAACTGAAGGGCATCAAAGCACAATTGAGACCAAGCTCTAATTTCATTTGATCCTGGAACCAATCATTTCAGTTCATTGAGAAGTTATCTTAACGAGAGAAAATAACAATCACAACGAAACTCTAAACAGAAGCTAGCGGGGAGCAAATACCTTGGAACCTCTATGCCCCCAAGGACAGGTTGACTCCAAGGACTTGACACATCCTTTTATGGAACAAGGGCCCCTTTACAGGCTATTTAGTATAGTGAGTTTGGAGCTACTTTCTGGACTCAATCTGCCTCCTACAGAGAACAGATGCTTTTCTAGTATGGACAGCTTGAGAACAACAAACGTTGATCCAACACTCTGAGCTACTGCAGAGGTCTGGTCCTTATCACCACCTGGAGAAGGCAGGGTGCCCAGGCCTTGAAAGAAGGGCTGAACCTGGAGAAGCAGCCAAGCGACCAAGTCCACCAACAGTGGGTAAAGCTTGGTTGCTTCCCCAGCAGAATCTTGGCTAAGGGAAATGAGGAGGCAGGAAGTAGTCATTTGCCGTCTTCACCTTCTGCAGCACCAGCGTCCCTCGATGCTCAAGTGTCCAACGCAACACTCCACAGTCACTTGTTTAGGGCGGGCAGACAGATACTAAGCTTTAGTATGCAAGGCAGATGTTCTAGACTCACTGGAACAGCACAAGCAGAGTCGCCAGGGGAGAAATGGCAAGATGCCTTACACCACAGAGTAACTCAGATTCAAGTGCGACAGATTGCTCACTGGCCTCAGCCAGCCAGGCAGACACCCTGACGGCTGCTATCAATATCAGCTCTCTTCATCAAGGGCACTGATGAGCATTAAAGGTAGAGACAGCAGAGACTGCAGCACTGTTTTACCTGCCCCACTCCTCACGGGCACCCAGAGCATGACATCAGCACCCATTTGGTCTCCACCCCAAACCAGCCCTTGTCACAGCGCTTCTGACCACCTGCCAGCAGACCCTGGCAGGATGTGCATCGCCCAGGGCCAGCCTGAGCAGAATGCAACTGAGACGACAATTGGCTGGGGACCAGGGAGGTGAGAGGGAAGCTGCATACCACACGCTCCAAAGTCAAGGAGGAGCAAAGTTCGGGCTTGAAAACAACAGCACCTTTGTCTCTATGCGATTGACCTCTTAATTCTGTCTTTCACGTAACTAAATCTCCCCCACCTCAGTTTCCTGAAAATTTATGTCAAAGATAAAACACATTTACAATGTCTAGCAGTACCTGGCAGCACCAAGGCCAATATATGATGCTAATTATCATTAGGATCGCAGTTTGGCGAAATAGGTCAGAGCAGACGTGTGGGAAACAGAGAGACTCCACAAACCTCCCCAGCTATGGGGGAATTTCCTTCACCTCTTTGAACTATAACCATCTCACCTTCAAAATGAGATGGGAGAGATAAAGCCATTTCAGAGGGCTTTGCGAGGAGTCAATGAGAATCTCTATGTAAAGTTCTTGGCACCGAGTAGATAAGGGGAAGTCCCCTCAGAGAGCCCCCACAAAGAGCTCTCCGGTTGCTACCTCAGGAGTCAGAGGAATTTCTAAAAGTCACTGGTGTTCACTGACCCAAATGCCACGATATCCTCAACGTCTGTTTCTCCTCTCATATTCCCCATTGCTGTGCACAGTGCCAGTTTCCCTGCTGCCCAAGTGAGAAATTCTGCAGTCCTCGCTGACTCTTCCCTCTGCCCCACAGCAAATCTGTCAGCAGGCTCTGCTGATTCCCCTTACATAACTCAGCTCCCCCTGCTGCTCTCCATCTGCCCCCAGTCTTAGTTCCACCACGACCTGTGACAAGATAACTATCTCCAGCCTGCCCCCATACCGTTTCTAAGACGCAACTACTCCCTTCTTCCTAAAGTGCAGATTTGATCAAGCCTTTCTCCTGCTTCCAAATCTTCATTTCTCCCCCAAATAAAACCCAAGGCCCTTACATGGCTTTAGCTCAGCTCCCTCATCCAGCCTCGTTCTAACCAGGCTTCATGTGCCAGACCCTCTGAGTAACTTACAGCTTCCCAATGAATCACGTCTCTGTCTCTCTGCAAGGATTTCACACATGCCGGTCCCTCCTAGAATACTCTTCTCCTCTTCTCCTTGCAAACTCATGCTCGGTTTTGGGGTTTCAGCTTAGGTGTCATTTCTTCCAGGATGCCTTAAGGTCCCTTTTGCTGTGCTGCAAATGCCTGCTTGTCTGTTCACCTTCCCTAGGGGGCGTGGCCCTGAAGGACAAAACCCACTTCTGTCCCTGACACAGTCCAACCGCTTCACACGTCGACTAGAACAGAGCAGGCCCTCAGGTGTCCACTGCTGGACAGATGGATGGAGACAGCAATCACCGTCCTTGTGCAGTAACACGCGTGTCGGTGGAGGTGGCACCGAGCTGTCTGGTAGCTGAGCCAGTGCCAGGCGCCACTTACCTAGGATGGCCACCACCTCGTCGTCCTGGATCACCTCCAGGGAACCCGAGACCACGAAGCACAGGCTGTCCACACTCTCCCCCGCGTGGTAGATGAGGTCCCCTGGGGCGCAGTGCACAGTCTGGAACTCCATTGCCAGGGCACGCAGGCAGCCGTCACTGGCCAGCCGGAAGGCCGGGTGCTCCTTGAACACCTTGCGGTTCAGGTGCACGCAGATGTCGGCTCTCATGTCCTTGGGACAGATCTGCAGAACCTGAGAGGCACAAGAGAGAGAGTGAGGAGCCTCCCTGTAACTGCTAACCACTTCCCTCTGCACCCCAAGGGCAGGAGCAACACGCAGGGAGCCAGGCCCTCTCCTTGTGGGCTGCCCTTCCATGGGAGAGACAGGCAGAGTCCAAAGAAACCCAGGCAAAACTCTCAGGACTGGGACCTGAGGCTCAGGGCCAGGACCATGTGGGACCTTCTGCAGACCAGGCTGCGGGGAAGGCTAGAGGAGGTGAGATTTCAGCCGATGCCTGCACAGTCTGGTAGAGTGGGCTACGGGAAAGAGCAGTCCAGCAGGGCTGCAAACACAAAGCTCCAAGGGGCTGAGCCGCAGCCACATGAAAGATGAGGGCAGAGAGGAGAGGAGGGTCAGGGAAAACGCCAAGGCAGGATTTCTTACCTTTGATTTTATCCTATGGTAGGGAAACACTGGCAGATCTTTGAGCAGGGGAATAAGCTAATTTATATTTTATATGTTAAGGGGATATTGTGGCTACAGAGTGGGGTTAGAGAGCCTAGACTGGAGTAGAGCAAAAGTCAAGGAATCCATTTAACCACTCCTGCAGCATCCGGGTGAGAGGGACGAGGATGCCGGGGAAGTCAGGGAGAAAGGGCTATGGCCGAATTATACAAACAAATAAACACAATTTAAACTGGTGGCAGCTGTATGGCTCGAGGGCACAGTGTGGTATTTTAGTTTATGCATATCACATATGATAGCCAGATTGAGACCTTCAACCCCCTCAAAAATTATCATCCCTTTGTGTTAGGACATCCAAAGTACTTTCTTCTAGCTATTCTGAAAACTGGGGGGTCAACAGGTACCAATTACAATGAGAAAAAAAGAGCACACTTAGTGCTCTGCAGCAGGGGGTAACGTTAGACCATTAGTGCAGCTGGATCTGACGGGGCAGGCGGTGTGCAGATGGACAGAGTGACACCCACGAGAGCCCACTGTGAGCCAGGCTTGCCAGCGTGGACTCTAAGCTCATCCATTCACTGAATGCCCATGGCACAGCAGCGACCTCTGGGCTCTGTGCATACAGCAGTCTGAACAGAAATGGACAAAATCCCTGCCCAGTGTGACTTCTCATCTAGTGAAAGCAGACTGACAGTACAGAAAAGAAATAAATGTAGTGGTGCATACTAAGAATAGGGGGGGAGGAGAAACTAAGTCAAGGAAGGTTGCAATTTTATATTTTAAAATGCTACATGCAGGCTGGGGATTTAGCTCAGTGGTTCCGCTGCCTGCCTCACAAGCACAAGGACCCGAGTTCAATCCCCAGTACCAAAAAATAAAAACAAAATAAAATAAAATGCTACATGCATTAACTAACCTCATCCCACTGAAACCCTATAGTGTACGCAGTAGTAGTATTCCAGCTACAGATGAGGAAACTGAGGCTTAAGGAAGGTATGGAACTTGCCCAAAGTTGCATAGTCAGGAAGTAGCACAAAATTAGGGATCTTGAAGTTGGATTCTGTATACCCTGACCAAGTCCTAGGCTAGGCAGCTGCACAAAACAAATGGGTTTGCAGTTTGACCTGCAGCACTTTGAATGCAAAATGGGAACTGTAGAGGCCATGTGGGTTTCGTCTTCTGAGGAAATGAAAAAGTCCCCACCTTTTCTAGAGGGAGGAATTTTTCCTTGGACCCAAGTAATGTAAGAAACCATTGCAAGGTCCCTTATACAGCAAGCATTAGCTAAACAAGTGTCTGGAGCAAACAAGTGGATTTTTGGAGAATCAGGAGTGTTTCTCCCACCCTGGCCCGAGACAGTCAGAGAGCACAGAATAACGTGCTCCGCGGGGCCGCCCTGCCTCGGCACAGCCCTTGCCGCTGCCTCTGCACTCACCCTGCACTCTGGAACCCAGCAGCCTCCCCAGCGCGAATCTCACCTTGCCCTCCACAGCCTAATCCAACCCTCCTCTCAGGTGCTGCTGGGCCGCCATGCATGGAGGCACAGCAGGGGAAAGAGGTGCAAACCCCGAAACCCCACCTTCCTCCTGTCCAGTGACTTCGCGGCTCTAAGCTCATCTTTCTCCTGTAAAATGCAGGCTGCTCACACGAACTCATGAAGATCAAATGGAATTGCATCTGCTGTCCACTGCCCAGGACAGTGCCCGTCCACTTGGGAACTCCATCCACACCGGTCCCGTCCTCCTGCGCCCCCGCATTCCTGCTATGGGGCTGCCGGAGGAGGAAGTAAGGAAGGGCTGGATAGCTCCCCAGGCAGGCAGGAGCTCAGACTGCTGAGGCCAGACAGAATGTTCGCGGCCTGCCGTCCTCCACCAGACTGAGAAGCAAGGATTCTGCAGAAGTGCAGATCTAATTTGTGCTTTATTCTCTGAGCAGATCCCCAGGGGCTGTAACGTGTGTGTCATGTCAAAGCTGTGCGGGATGGTTCAGAAGCGAGCTTTACCCTCCAGGTAAATAAATTGTTAAATATCTGGCTTCCTCTGAGTTGGCTTTGCTGGCGGAGGCTGCTAGTGACTAAGGTCTTGGGGTGTAGCGATGTTTTACTCATGGACACTGATCCCGGAGCCCGTAGAGAGCACAGCGAGAGAGGCGAGGGAATCTGCCATGGAGGAGTCTCAGACTGCTGCAGCATTCAGGCATTTTCACCTTTCTGATCTGCATGTGGGTGGTGTGAGGCTGCCTTCCCCACTGCTTGGCTCTGAGATAGCATCCTGCAGAACTTGAGGGCACTCACAGCCTCTCCCGCTGTGGCTGAAACAGGGGCTGTATGGTGAGATCTGCATTCAGTCCTAGCCTCAGCATTCTCTGGGGACGTGAACTTGCAGCAACACTCACTTAGTCAAATTTCATTCTTTGAACTCATGTGCGGAATTTCTATGAGGATTCCATGAGCTGTGGCACAGGAAGCCTGGCACAAGCGAGTGCTCACTGTCTGTAGGTCCCAGTCTCTGATGCAGTGATAGCAGCAGCAGCTGCAAGAGGTCACCAAGGGAGGCTTTGCAGTCTCGAGAGAGCCTTAGAAAAGGTCACCTGGCCTTGAAGGTCAGCCAGTCGCCTGTGCTGCAGACTGGGAAACTGAGGTCTAGAGACAGGCGCCATGGTCAAGGTCACCAGCTGATTACTGGTAAAATCAGAGGAGCCAAGGACTACCACGCCCTCTCTGGCTTCCTCAGGCATCACTGACCACTCTGATCTAAAACAGAGGGAAAGGAACACCAAAGGAGAGGCATGGAGCCACAAGACTGGCTCTCTCCCCAGCAAGTGCCTGCCACAGTGAGTTACTACAGTTGTGTCTTTGATGATTCCCTCTTCCTTCTGGACCAGGAACTGGGGCAAATCCAAGCCCTGTGGGAGGCAAGAAAGGGCAGGGAGGGCAAACGCTGACGGTGCTGTCTTCCAGGGCAGCTGCCCAGCCCAGCCAACAGGGAGACGAGGGAAGTTTCTCTCCAGACAACCAGATCTACAAAAGCATCCTGGTGCCTGGGAAGAGAGGCTCCAGGGCAGAGATCAAAGCCCCTTTCTGCTCCATCAACTTCCAGGAACTCACAGAACCTACAGCTACTGATCAGAGAGCAGAAACAGCAGGCACAGATGGGGCAGATGGCGGGCAAAACCAGGCACCAAGCACAGCCCAGGGATTCCCCGCCCTTCCAGGAAACCAGAACAACTTCACCGGGCTCCTCTTTCTTCCTCCCACTACAGGTTTTAAATCTTAAAAGGTGGTGGTGTGGAGCACAGGTTTTGAAGTCAGGCAAAACAGTTCAGCTCTTGGCTGTGTCATTCTTTACTCGATGGAAAGGGGCAGTTGGTAAAATGAATGGGGCTCTAGAACAGCAAGTCCCTCCCACGCCTGTTGTGAAGCCCCAACAGGGAACAGCCGCAGGGGAACCTGAGCACAAGGTCCTCAGAAACACTGGAGCAGTGGTGACTGGTGCTGTGGGAGTCTCGATTATCGGTTATCGTGGCTGAGAGCCAGCAAACCAAAGCAGTGTTCCTTCAAAGCCGAGGTCAGTTCAACACAGTTCAGTGTTTCTTTGTAAGCAGTTAGCTCTCCACTGCGTTCTAACAGAGGAAAACAGGAATGTGCGGAGCGATACCAAAGCCTGTTGAATGTGGCTTGTGGTACCTTTCTGTCTTCCTAACCCTAACAGTAAAAGCAATCTGTATCCCTCGAATATGCACAGACTCGTAATAAAGCAGTTTTGGAAAGACTGAGAAGTACAGAAAAACTGAGCGGTGCTGAAAACTTTGCTTCTAGAGAACATATAAAGAAGATAACTCGTAAACACTAGAAAGTCTTCATCCTTCCTAGTACTACCAATTTTCTGCGCTTGATTGGAATGGATCTGAAACAGCACCAGTGTAGAGAACAGGAGGAATTTAGCACGCTCTCTGCTTTACAGGTGGGAACAGAGGCCCACAGAGACAGGCAGAAGCCTTTCCGGTCTCCCAGCATTGCATCCTCCGCCTACAACCTTCCTCGGGCTCTGTCGAGGCCTGCGACGTGGCTGGGATTCTTACTGGGATTTAGAGTAGAGCGAGATCCCACAGGCAACAGCCCTGGGCACACAACTTAAGGCGTTAACAAGGAAATTCAGTATCAAGATGAAGCACACCATACAATATTTTTTTAAGACAAAGCAAAAGCCCACGATGAACAAAATATCAAAAGATTGAATAAAGACGAGATCACGGCAGCACTTGGCTCTCTTGGAATCTGGGGCAAAGGGAAAAATCCGTCACACCAATTACCTCCTCTTGTCACAGCCCTGACTCTTCCCATTATCCAGGTTTGGGAAATTCTGGCCTGGGCAGTTAGGCTCCCAGCTGCCCTCCTCGTAGGAGACACACTTTACCTTTCCAATTTCTTAAGGCAATCTGGAAGCAATCAAAACCTCTGGAGGAAGAATCTGGGAATCCCAAACTACCCACGTGAATTTTAACCCCGCTGAGCCCGAGAGCCTGGGTTTAGCTTACGGAGGGCAGAGACAAGGCTGACCCAAGCTCCTCACACTCCTTACCTTCTCTGTGTCGATGCCCCTGGACATAGACCAGGTGGACACGATGTAGTCCATGACTCGCTCACTCAGGCCTTTGGGTACCTGGTAGAGCTTCAGAAAGTCCCGGACACTGTTCAGCATCTCATGGTACCTGTTGGTGTTGGCATACATCTGCTGGAAAATGGTCGTCACGTTCCCGAAGATGGTGGCGTAGAGAAGTGCTAGAGGTGAGGAAAAAGAGTAGAAGAAGCAATACGTGAGTGGTCCCTAAGCCAGGACCCCAGAATGTCCAATGTGCTCAGAGCAGGCCAGTGGCTAGAGCCGCCCTTTCCTGTGAGACCTGACTAAGCTAAAGTAGCTCCATGCTGTCCTGCTAATGGGCCAGAGACCCGTGCTTCCTCCTCTCCCTATCAAACATCAGGAAGAGCTGCTCAAACTGCAAGCAAGCCTTCGTATGCTAATTGATAACTTGATTAACAGCCCACCCAGGGACAAATGTATGACAAAAGGTGACCTTAAAACACTTCCCCCATAAGCTAAACCCTGTGTTTGGACTCTAACCCCCAGGTAATTGTGTGAATGCCCTGACCTATGTCTGTACTTCTTTGTTTGAAAAACCCTATAAAACCTATGCACAAGCTTGTAACGGGGCTTCACTTCTCTTAGAGAGTGGAGTCTGCACATGTATAATATAATAACCTTCTTTCAGTTTTTATCTGTGTCCCGGTACTTGGAGTTTTCTCCCTGGCTTGGTGTAACACTTCCTGGTGCAGTCCCAGCCTTCTCAGTAGAGCTTCACACCAAGAGCTTTCGGGCAGTGGACGCAGAGAAAGTCTCCTAACACCAGGCCAGGAGCACAAATGTGTGGGAGGTAGGGCCAGGATGGATGGAGGCTGGCCCAGCTAGGCCGCAGCTCAGACACAGGTGTGGGGGGGAGCTGCACTGTTTCACTTTCTATGTCTTGTCCAAAAAAAATTTGAGCCACTCCTGAGGCCAGCAGTCAAATATACTTTGATGTATTCCATAACCCTCACCGGTACAAATCCAAACCTATTAGCAAATGATCTTTATCAAGCTGTGCTAATGTGCCAGGCAAATGCTACTGGCATGGGACAGGCTGGTGAACAGGACACTCAGTTCTGGTCCTCTCAGAACAACGTAGCAGGAAGAACGGACCCTGAATACACAATCACGGTAATTAAATAATAGCGAGTTCGCAGAGGGCAACGAAGGATGTTATAACCTTGTTTTGCACTTATTTTCAAATCCTTATTTTGCACTTACTATTTGTTTTATTTTTTTGGTGCTGGGGATCGAACTCGGGTCATTGTGCTTGTGAGGCAGGGGACAGAACCACTGAGCTAAATCCCCAGCCCCGCACTTACTGTTAAGACAACAATATGGCTCCTGGGGAAAAACAACGGCTTTGACATGGTGAGAAGAAAGTGAGGACCCTCTGAGCTCGGAGATGTGGCAGCCAGAATGGTGCCAGGCAGGAGGACTACTCTGGCGTCGCATTCTCTGCCTCTGGCTTCTAACTTCCATGTGCCTCAGACGATGAGCTCCAGGGCCACTGCTTCCAGGAAGCCATCCCAGCACCCTCTGCACACCTGGCTCCAGGAGGGTGACTGTGACATACCAGGTCCATCTGCAGAGCTCACTGCACCACTGTGCCTGCTGGCCTGTTCCCCAACAGACTACGCAACGCTGCTTGAAGGCTGGAGATATCTTTTCCTTGCCTTTGTATGCTCCAAGATCCAATGCCATACTACTCTACTACTTAGGAAATGTGTATTAAAGTCATGAATGCTTTTGCTTTTTAAAAAATGAGTGATATTTTATATACAATAAACTACACATGCCTTGTAATTTGATCAACTTTTGCCTCCCACAGGACCATCACCACGATCATACGGCGACTGCACGCCTGCCCTCACATGGGTTGCCGTCCTCGGTGATTAATTCCTCTCTCCTGCCCCTCCCACTCTCCACCCTGCCATCCCCAGGCAGCCATTGGCCTGTATTCTGATACTATGAGCAGATTAGCCTGCACTTCCTAGAGCTTTAGTTACATGGAATCATGTAACAGTGTGCAGGTCTTTTAAACATCTCTATTCTGTCATTATCTTTTTTTTTTTGGCAGTATTAGGGATCGAGCCCAGGGTCTTTGCACTGAGCCACATCCCCAGCCATTTTTATCTTCTAATTTTTTGTTTTGAGAAAGGTTCATGCTAAGTTACTAACTGCAGAAGCTGGGCTCAAACTTACGACCCTGGATACAAAACCCTTTCAGATATAATGATGTGCAAATACCTTCTCACATCATGTAGGTTATCTTTACTTTCTTTACAGTATTACTTACAAGACCAAGTTTTTAGTTTTGATGTGATTCAATTTATCTGATTTTTCTTTTGTATTCTTTTTTGACTGGCTTCTTTCATTAAACATAACTACTTTGCTTATATATTGCTGTTTACAAAAGCTCATTCCTTTTTTAAACAAAATAGCAAGTAGTTTGTTTGGAAGTAATCAGAAATTCACAGGAGGTTGCAAAGATAGTAGAGACAGATTCCAGGTACCCTGCGCCTGTTCTCCTCATTGGTTACATCTTCTATGAGTAGGGAGCAATATCAAAGCCAGAAGACCAGCATTGCCATAAGGTAAGGGGACTGGACCAGTGGAATGGAGCAGAGGATGCCGTGCAGCGCAACAGCTAGTGAGTGATGCCAGTCGATTCCATAAAGTATGCATATAGTTCTGAGACATTTTATCACATGCGCAGGCTCTCACGGCCGGCACAACATTCAAAATACAGAACTGTTGCATCACAGGAAAAGGCTTTGTCTCACCTCTTTACAGTCAGAGTCACCTCCTCTACCTCTTGGCCCCCGACTCCCCGGCAACCACAAGTCCCTTCTACTTTATTATAATTAGGTCATCTGAAGAGTGTTTTTGAGTGGAATCATTCAGTTTGTGACCTTTTCACAGAGTGGCTTTTTCACTCAATAAAACCCGTAAGGCCCATCCCTTAAACTGTTGCTGGGTCAACCGTTTCTTGCTTTTAACTGATAAATCCTATCCCCCACTGTCTGGGTGCTTCACATTGCTTCTTTCAAAGAATCTTATTCGGGCTTAGGTGAAAGACTATGGAGAAGATGGCAGAGCGATAATCAGTAAAATATCAACCTCTTTGAGACTCAAAATCCAGGCACTGGAAAATAACTTGGGAAACAAAAAACGAGGGAGGTGGATCCCCGGGACCTAGGAAAGATCTAAAGGGAAAACTGGAGCACACAGAGAAAGTGAAGAGACAGACCTCCACTCGGGAAAAGGGGGCAAATCTGCCCATTCTCCCCAGCTCCCCAGAGGAGGATCCAATTTACAGACAGCTCGTCTCTGTGCACACGTCAGCAGGTGAGGCAGCAGAGAGTTATCCCATGGGCCCATGTATCTTTGTGAACAGTTTATCCAATCGTTTTAGAGCCATGCCAAAAGGCGCTTGCTTCCCCGAGGAAGTTCACCATTTCCCCCCTCCCTACACACTTTGGCATGGCACTTATAACATTATGGATAATTAATTATATAATCTTTAGGCAGAAATCGCATCCTATTAGAGTCCCCAGGCCTGAACAGTTCCAGGGCTTGCTATCTACTTGTTGAATGAACGTCCTGCACAGAGCCTGCCCACAGTACATGTTCCTCGACCGTCTTGCTGGTTCTCCTTCAGAGGTTGGCCTTGCCCTCTCCTTTCACCAGACAGGCCTTGGAGATATCACCAACGGCAGAGGAGTGGTGAAGAGATGCTGTCCGACTTCTGGGACTAGGTTTCTAGAGGGACATGCACTCCTCCTTGATCTCCTGAGTCACTCACACTTGAAAGCCAGCCTCAACTCGGAACTTGGAATGTGAGCAGGTTCAAGCAGCCCGCGGAGAGGCCTTCACAGAAGGATCTGGGGTCCCTGGACCAGCCCCAGCCGAGGCCCCAACCTAAATCCATGGCCAACTCGCCACAAGAGGCCACAGGGGCACAGAGCAGCCCGGCTTTGCTTCCCTGGTGAACTCAGTTCAGGGTGTGAGGTCTATCGCCCGAGAATAATGCTTTTCTCAGTGTAACCTAAATTAGATAAAAAAGCAAGCAAGACTCAGGCGTGGATACACAGGATGTTCAGTGTGCACACAGGTAGTTAACATGAAAAATTACTTCACTTGTAACTTTAATTATGATTGTGAGAGAAAAAGGTACAAGCATAAGTACACCTAATTGTCTACATCACATGAAAAATGTGCCCCATGTTTGTATCTTTTTCTCTGTTCTGAATATTTGCTGAAATATAAATTTATGTCCACTGAGTCTAATAAAAATTAGTTTGTATTATAGCCACATTTTAACATTTTCCTAATTTTAACATTACTTTTTGACAAACAAATATTAGTTGAGAGGGGCTGGATAACTCTAAAAGATCGAAAACTGGTTCTTGAGTGCAGATAACTCTCCAGGCCAAGCTTCAGCCGGTGAACTCTGGACAGAGAGCAGGCGGAGAGCAATCCACACTTATCCTGCTGGTCCTCACCACTCCTGCAGCCCTTGCCTTTCCAAGGGGAGTCCCTATGGCATCAGTGGGGCCACCCACAAAGAGTGAAGTACAAATAGTAAAGATGGAGCCTTAGGCCAGCCCAGTGCATGTTAGGTGATCAAACCAACTGTAAAAGTCCACCACAGATGTCAAAGGATGTAGGGGCACAGTATCTTAACCCTCTTGTATGGAGAACTTGAACCCTATTTTTACATTCCCTTCTTTTTAAAGAGTACAGCCATCAGAAAGAATGCTGACAACCTCTAGTTCAGCTTTCAGGATTTCAGCTGGGAACATCTAAGAAGTATTTTTCTTCTCGCCATGAAATTATTGCTTAAGCAATTCTGCCGTCACTCTGAATGCATAAAAATGAAAATGACTTAGACTGGAAAAATGGCTTTGCAAATGTGTCTGTATGCTGAGCCCTGCGAGCAACTGTCTGTCCCAATGGGCTGCACGGCCGAGCCCAGGCCATTCGGCACCTACAGAGCCTCGGAGGCTGGAGGCTGATGGGAAACACATTCCCTTCCAGAAGCTGGTTTCTTCAGCTTGGGCAAGTTGTAAAATTACCTTTTCCACCATCTTTAAGCCTACAATTCCAACCTTTTAAAAACATCAGCTTGAAAAACCCTTCATGCCTCCTTGAC